TAAGCCTAAAAATTTTTTTTGCCATCAGTACTTACCGAGATATTAAAGCCCCAAAGTTTGTAGAAAGTGACAAGCGTATGGCAACAGTGGCGACTGCCGCCCCCCCGGTATTCTTTTATTTACTCTAATTAAAAGGGTTTTTCTTGCTTTTTTAAATATTTTTCTGTTCCAGGTAACTTATGGGGCCCTGTGAGACCAATGTAAGGTGCATTCTTCAAATATACACTCATTTTTTACAACACAATAACAGAACAAACTTTTTCACTATTAGTTTGTGTATACACTTTGTTTACACAAATAAACAATACAAAACAAACGTTCATTACTATTTTTTCCATAATATATAACATATGTACAGTCACTAAACACGTTCCTAGAACTGCTGCAGCTTGTGAAACTCTTTGAAACATGGGTATATGCAGAGGGGCACTTCACACTCCTCAGACATAAAACGAGTGTCTCTGCGTGTTTGTGGGCGTTTTGTGATATGCATACATACATAACATCTCTTCTGAGCATTTTTCTTGGCAGTAGTAGGAGGCAGTTGCATGGAGTAGTGATCACCAGGCCTGAAACGAGATGACGTGTGTACGTAATTTCGTGGGCGCTGGTCTATTGCAGGTGTTGCTCCTTGGTACTTTGCAATTATTTGTCTGATTACTGACAAGCAAAATTCACCATATTTGGTGTTTTGTTGGGGCTTCAACTTGTATATGTTATAAGCATTTAGCATAGAATATCAACAAGATGGAAAAAAGTTTTATATACCACTTATAACTCTTGGGGTACACAGTCTGCAAAAACCCCAAACTGCATGTCACATTTGTCCACTAAGCGCTTATTGAGGTTGTAGTCCATGACAGCTGCAGGCTTTAGAATGGGTTCATTGGTCTCTCGGTTGTGCCTGCCACTGTGTACCATTTCGTTTCGGTTTAAATGATGTCAATAATGTGACATCACGTTTGTCATCCACCGAAATGCCATGATGTCATTGGCAGCAAAAGCTTGGGAACCTCACCTCTGCGAGTGCCAGCGTCGAACCTTGGCATAAAGTTTACGATTACGACGCACTGTGCCACACATGTCTGTCAAGTTCAATCGCAAGAAATCACTGAGTAAGGGGCTTGTGTACCAGTTATCAGTAAATAACTTATGCCCCTACCAAGATATGGTTCCAAACATTGTTCGAACCACATCACCAGAGATACCCAATAACTTTATGGTATCTCTCAAAGTATTACTGCCAGTGTACACAATGATATCCAAAACTAGACAACTTCTGCAATCACACAGTACAAATAGCTTTTACCCAAAACATTTCCTCTTGCTTGGTATATATTGCTTGAATGAGGGTCTTCCCCTTTTAATAAAATCAAGGACTCACAATAAGAAGCTTCCTGAAGGGATAAAAATACATGCAGCACTTTTGTTTCAGGTACATAAACACATTTCTTATCTTATAAAAACCTGTCGCTTCTGTCAGGTTTGGTTTTGTCTGAAAAGTGTAACATAGTAACAGTATCAGGAAACGATTGACACCTATAATGTCACTAAAACCTGGAGTTGAAATCAGCGTTCTGTTCCCCAGTATGTGGTGACAGTGTGCTTATACACATGTGGCATAAGCATTATTGTGGCAAAAAACAGGTACATCTCTGCCACAGTTGTCTCCTTCCACTTGTGTAGCCGTGATTTTGGTGAGAGAATTGTATTTGCCATGGTGTAATCACAGTATGTGTTTGTTTCCCTGACAATGAGGTCCATCAGGGGTTCATCGAAGAATAACTCAAAGCAGTCCAGTTCACTGGCATTGTTCCTAAGTGGACATGATGGCTTTATTCCACTTTGTGTTTCATCAAAGTCATGGGGACTGGGAACAAACTCGTCACCGTCCTGCCAATCCCAGATGCGGTCTGCTGGTGGGGTCTGGATATTGTACCGTGGTTGTGGTTGTGCAGGTTGTGGTTGTGCAGGTTGTGGGAGTGCAGGTTGTGGGAGTGTGGGGTCGGGTGAGGCTGGTTGTTGTGCAGAGTCAGCAGCGTGGGTAGTAGCATGGGCCGCTGATGGTGCCACATGGGCCGTGCCACCCTCACAATCACCACCAATGCCTGCTCCCTCACTCACATCATTCATACCCATCGTTACAATATCGTCATCTTCACTATCAGGTCATGGTGTAGGGCCACGGGATGTGCTCCCAGAGTTTCTCCTTCCCCTTGGAACAACATATGAAACACTACCAGACCGCATGCTACGTCGTACATACTGCCGCTTCACTGGGGAATATTCACCCTCACTGTCACTAGAACTGCTTTCAATGACCTTGAAATCATTATCACTATCACTATCACATTCACTGCTATCAACTGGGTGTTGTACACAACCAAATAGTTTCCTCTTTCGTCCTGGTACAGGCGAACGTGAACGTGAACAAGCCGGCCCAGCACCAGAGGTGGAAGGTTGTGGGTTATCTGGGTTTTCATCACTAATTACGATATCCTGGGCACTTTTTCCGGTAACACTCACTTCAAAACCCTGGAATTCACTGTCACTGACATTTTCATCGCTGTTAGAGCTATCACTTGGGAACAAAAGACCTCCAATCCGCCGAGGAGTGAGGAACTTCTTACCGAGAGGCATTGTGAAAATGGACTAACAAGATGGCGTTCCCACAATGCACCGCTGGGTCCCAGATTTTTTTCACAGGGTGCACACCGACCACTGAGACCCATTCTCTCTCATGTAGGCCTACCAGGCCTTTCCCGCTTGATTTGAAGCCGCTAGAATTTGTGTGTATAAACATTGGCTCGTAAGACGTATTTATACGCCATAAACAGTCAAAGGGTTAAAGGGACATTGGACTTGGGTAATCACATAAAGATAAATTATTACCACATGAGAAAAGCAGTCACACCTTATATGTGGAGTTTAGCAAAATGAAGCCACATGAAATGAGGGCAAACCCGTATTTATTTTAGGAGGCATATGTATAGTGATGCCCATGACTAAGGTACATGAAGTGCTCTAATCCAGTAGACCTAAGCAGGGAGAAAAGGGGAGGCTGTATGGTGGGCAGATTGAAAACATCTATGGCACATACCCAAATTTTGTCTTGGTTATTTCAGAATTTATATAGTTTATTTTAATTTTTCTTTTATACATACATGTACAATACTAAATTTTTTGGTTATACTCTTTGGAATGTGCAAAACAAGGCTGCACAATATGAGAGCAGTGAAGCTTTTGGATTCTGCAAGATGTGTTAATGCAGGATTTAATTAAACAAAAAGAATTTGGGGGGTTTTAAAAGAGGCTTAAACTGTAGGAGACTGGAAGAAAATAGTGCTGGTTGCATGGCAGAATTTAGACTTTGTTTCATCTTACCATTTTCAAGTCTATTTTTCCAATCAGAATAAGACTAAAATGCAAAGAATAGATCAAAAGTTAATGATTTGTGGATTGCCGAAGTTGGTGGAAAATGACCTAGCAACGGCAGAATCATGATGATTCCAGCAAGTAATAATTGCTTTTTATTTTTTAGATAATTATGTTATTTTTCAATGTCTAAGTTTATATGCAACATTTTATAATGGGAACAGACATTTTTCAAGTTGTTTAATTTTAAAACAGGGAAAGAAACACATCACACTATATCCACAATTTCAATATTCACTATTATTTTGTCCAGTATATGTTATCTTATTTCTACTGATTGTTTTTGTGCTTCACCACTGTGTACTGGGAACTGTTATGATATTACAAGTGTTTCAAGGTGGGATATTACAAGTGTTTCAAGGTGGGATATTACAAGTGTTTCAAGGTGGGATATTACAAGTGTTTCAAGGTGGGATATTACAAGTGTTTCAAGGTGGGATATTACAAGTGTCTCAAGGTGGGACATTGCAAGCATTTCAAGGTGGGATATTACAAGTGTTTCAAGGTGGAATATTACAAGTGTTTCAAGGTGGGATATTACAAGTGTTTCAAGGTGGAATATTACAAGTGCTTCAAGGTGGAATATTACAAGTGCTTCAAGGTGGGATATTACAATTGTTTCAAGGTGGGATATTACAAGTGTTTCAAGGTGGGAGATTACAAGTGTTTCAAAGTGGGACATTCCTTGAAACATGGAGATAGGCACAGTGCCATATCTCACATCTTACAGTAGTATTATGTGTCTTTATAGGTGAGGCAGCTGGTGGTATCACATTTAGGGTGTTGGCAGGGCAACTGGTAGTGTCACATGTGAGGTGTTGGTAGAGCAACTGGTAGTGTCACATGTGGGGGTGTTGGCAGGGCAACTGGTGGTCACATGTGGGATGTTGGCAGGGTAGCTAGTGGTCTCAAGAGTGCTAGGGGTGACACGTGTAGTGTTGGCAGGGCAGCTATGCTCCATGTGGTGTTGGCAGGGCAGTTGATGATGTTAGGGGTGCCGATGGTGACAAAATTGAGGTTGGTAGAGCATCAGATGGAGTCACATGTCATGTTGGCAATGAATGGCTATGTATTGCTGGTGCCACAATTTGTGTTGGCAGGGCAGTTGGCAGTGTCACAATTTGTGTTGCCAGGGCAGATGGTGGTGTCATATCTAGTGCTGGCAGAGGTATTGGGGGTGCCACATGTGGCATTGGTATGGCAAGTGGAACACGTGCTGTCGGCAGGACAATTCATGTCATTTGTGGTGCTGGCAGGGCCATTGTTGGTCTCAAAAGTGTAGGTGTGCTCCATGTAGTGTTGTTAGGGCAGCTGGTGGTGTGACATGTAGTGTTGGCAGAGGATCTGGTTGTGTCAAAGGTAGTGTTGGCAGGGCAGATGATGGTGTCACATGTATTGGTAGGGCATCAAGTAGTTTCCAAGTAGTACCACCTATGGTGTTGGCAGTGTACCTGGAGGTACCACATGTTGTGTTAGCAGGGCGGTGTCGGGGTTACTAGGGGGGTACAACTGTGGCATGTTTACATGTCATATTAGAATTATGTTGTCAGTGTCATATGACTCACCACTTTCCAGCCAGCCACTGTGAGAACAGCTGATGGAGATGATTTTACTCTTTGTTCCCTCTGTTGACCCAACAACCAGCGATTTTCTTTGGCCTGAGGAGGTGCCTGACAACTTAAACAAATGGCCTGAGACTTCAAATTCTGGTAATCAGCAAATTTGAAGGCAGGAAATACTATGTATATAGCATATATCCTACACATCTGTGTATCCAGATGTATGGTGTGCATCATAAAGTTAAAATATTGCCTTATATCTTGCATCTCTCTGTTATTGAAATACTTTATAATGAGATTTATTAAATATTTTTTGAAAGATTCTTGTTTTTACTTTAACTCAACTATAGGATCATATTTTCCAGCAATGATAATGTGTAACTTCCTCTAATGAATATTAATTATGAGCTGTCATTCTTCTCAAATATTGAAAATGTAAATCAAAATCAAAATGTTTATTTCCTTGCAAAGCTTACAATGTGTGATTTTCATATTATAAAATATTAATTACAAAAAAGGCCATTAGCATGCCTAGGCATTTTGGGCAGACTAATCCTAATTCTTACTCTGTATTGACACAGGTTATGGAGCAGTACATTTTAATATACTTTATTGCATTCTGATATAAAAGTTAGGTAACTGAAGGGATTAACATTAATTAAATTGATAATAGTGAGGTAGTACAAAGCAAATAACAATATTACAATTAGTTAATTTAGTAATGGGAATGGTTTTATCTCAGCATGATACACTGTTACTGTAGAAACTCCTCTACTGGTAGAGTATCTCAGGCAAACTTAGGACTAAATTAAGATTTATAGGCAATTACTATATTAGGAATGTTATGTACAGTCATTTGGGTGAGTGCTAATGTAAAAAAAGGAGGAATTACAGATAACGATTGTAAGTCTGTTTTGTTAGTTAGCTGATGGTGGGTGTGTGAGGGAGATAAGGTGTTTTTTAACAGTAGTTTTGAAAATGATGGTTGAGTCTGCAGTTCTAGAGTTTTCGGGCTGGGAGTTCCAGATTTTAGGCACTTTTATGTACATTGAGTTTTTGTAGAGATTTAGCCGGACGCAAAGAATGTCATAGGGATTTTTGTGTCTATGGGTCCTGTTGCAACTATCAAGAAAGCGTTTTAGTTCAGGATTAATATTAGAATTTATGGTTCTGTAAATGTGGGTTGCACAGTATTATGTGTGAATGTTTTGTGCAGAGAGTAAGTTTAGATCTCTGAAGAGGTCTTGGAAATATACAGTAATATTAATGATGTGTAAATTACAGTATATTAAACAGTCGTTGCTCCCATTATTCACGAGAGTTGTAAATATTGGATGTCCTCCAGGCATTCCTATCATTGTTGAATTTGGTCAAGTTCTCTATACTGTACTACATTAACATATTGGCATACTGTTGGTCAAGTGATTGTAGATGAAAGTGTTGTGTCCACAACACATCACCTTTAAAATACAATTTAGGTAGCATTAGCTTATATTGGCATCATCATAAGAAATAAGATAAAGCCTCCTCAACAGGTGGAGCAGAACACTAATTGTCAGTGGGCTGAGAGGAGAAGAACGAGAGACTGGCATGGACTTCCCACCACCAGCAAGTTGCATCAGTGTCCTGATTGTGACTACACCACTAATGATTCATATAACTTTAAAAGACACACTTTAAAACACACTGGAGAGAGACCTTTCACTTGCCCCTATTGCTCCTACAGTGCATCTCAGAAGAGTTGTTTAAAAAGTCATATTCGTCGACATACAGGAGAAAGGCCTTACCCATGCCCATATTGTCCATACCAGGCTGCTCAGAAGTCTACCCTTAAAGGTCATCTAATGACACACAAAACAAAAAGTATGCTAAGTACCATGGAAATTTAAGCAACTCGCTAGGAATAGGGGAGGTTTATCTAAAAAAAAGTTACTCTATTGTATTGTATTAGTCCTTAATTATTGTTTTTTTGTGCTTTTAGCAAGACCTTTCTAATAATTGAAAATCAAACATAATAAACTTTAGTTTTATGTCATATTTGGAAATACAGTGGACCCTTGAATTTCGTAATTAATCCGTTCCAGAGAGTGTGACAAAAGTTGAAATTTATAAATGGCGAAACCATTTTCCCCATAAGAAATAATGTAAATCCAATTAATCCATTCCAGATACTCAAAAGTTTTAACAAAAAATATTTTTTTTTACATTAAATATAGATTTACATACAGAAAACAATGAGACATCAAGTATAAAACAATAATAACATCATGTGTACCTTTATTAAAGACTCTTGTTGGTGTATGGAAGACAGGAGGAGAGGAGAGAATGGAGAAGTTAAACTATTGTTTGGAAGGGGAATCCCCTTTCATAAAGACTTTAGGTACTGGGTCCTTATCCGGGATTACTTCCCTTCTTTGTTTATTAACCCTTCATCAGGCAAGGGGTCCGAAAATTTGAATTCGAACTGAGCTCCTATGGTGGATAGAGTAACTCAATACAAGTTCAATGATCCCATATAAATTGATTTCTGATGGTTAGTTTTCGAGCAATTGCTAATCTCCGGAGACCGAAAATATCCGGCTGCGCCCGACAAAGTGATTAAAAAATTTTATGTTGCAAAACTTGCAATTGTTAATAAAAACACACCAAAACAATTTTTTAAATTTAATATACAAACAGACAATATAAAAAACATAAATGAAACTTGAATCAAAACATTTTTTAATTGTTACAAAATATAAAAAGGAAGCAAATCTCAACAATGACAAATTGCAAAGGGATGCAACTTTCAGTCCCTATATTCCTGAGATTCATTTGGATGACCAATTATTCTATATTGCTAATTGATGGTATGGTAGTCGCTGAAGCAATTTCTATCACTCTTTATCCAGATTTACTTTGCATACAGAACACTGGAATGAGGATGTGACCAATTTCTTCGAGTGGCTGCAATAGTTGCAATCGTAATACCTTACTTTTTCTTCACTAATTTCTGTTTTTTGGCTGGCCTTTCTTCCTCCTCATCATCACTTGACACCTGTGCATCCGGTGGCAAGTATTCATCACCACTATCCAGCAATTCTGGTTCATCTACCTCTGCTTCTGAGTCACTCTCTTCAGAAACGCAGTCATACCTCGACCTGCTGGTGGACTGCTCCCCATAAAACAACTTCTCATTGATCTGGAAGGACAATAGAAACCTCCTGTATAGATCCAGACCACTACAGAGTTCATATATGCAATTGAAATTTTTTATAAATATTTATTTGACTAAAATTGGACATTCCCGGAAACTCGGGCAAGACCGAAATAATTCGGTATAAAATGCTTGCACTTTTTTCAACTGCATGCTACACTCATATTATGCTTCACACGGACTTTAGGTATATATCAAAATATGCCTAAACTATTCATGTAAGCACTAAACACAACAATCAGTACTTACCGACATTGTAGAATGTATAATCCAAGAGTAGATTAGTAAGGGTGGAGGGAAAAATGGGTGTGTGGGCGGAGCCAAGCCACCAGTGTTTATATTTTGATCTCTCAACCAATGGGAAGGCGGCAGAAGCGAACTGTACTTAGCTGAAGAGACTCAGGGAAGGCTTGTGATTGGTTGGAACTAAAGAACGGGAAGCTGGCCGCGCGGGGCACGGAGTAGGACACGCCCCCAAAACACGTAATGAATACCGAATTATTTCGGCCCACCCACTAGGACCAGCTTGAGAGTCACTGGACCCCTGTTGCATAAAAAAGCTGTCCAGAGAGCTCTTGCAGCTCTACCTTCTACCACAATCACTCCCACCATCACTACCACCCTCTACCACCATCACAACCACTACTACCCTTTACCACCATCACTACCACCCTTGCCACCATCGTAACCACTACCACCCTCTACCACCATCATAACCACTACCACCCTCTACCACCATCATAACCACTACCACCCTCTACCACCATCACTACCACCCTCAACCACCATCACAACCATTACCACCCTCTACCACCATCACAACCACTACCAACCTTACCACCATCACTACCACCCTCTACCACCATTACAACCACTGCCACCCTCTACCACCATCACTATCACCCTCTTCCACCATCACTACCACCCTCTACCACCATCACTACCACCATTACAACTACTACCACCCTCTATCAATGATGTTCACTCGCCAATAAACAATGCCACACTGACTGGGACTGGCGTGTGGGGCAGACGCTGGGAGGCCATTTGTATGTGTTTTGGACGAGCGACGAATGGCGAGCCAAATTACAAACCACGAGGCTATATTTTGATGAAAAAAGTTGTCAAAAGTCGAAATTTACGAAGTGCGAGCCTTACGAAACTCAAGGGTCCACTGTACAATACAAATACTAATTTTATTTTTATTTTTGTTACTGTTTTTGGATTACATAGCTATATGCTTGTTACACAAAGCATTTTTTGGCAGACTGAAACTACAGTTGACTGTTGGATAATACAGTACTTATGTTCCTGAAAATGGCATGTAGTGAAAAAAAATTTGTAAACTGAACTGAAAAGCACACATGAAAAATAAGGTTATGTTCATTGGACTCCCCATATAAAGGCCAAACACATTTTTTATAGGTCAAAATTGTTAAAAAAAAATGATAATGTAATTGAAGTTCAGCATGATGATGTGCATCAAAGATCCTGCAACCACATCTCTGCTAGCAGAGATGTGGTTGCTCATTGTAGCCATATGGTAGTCATAAAGGAGAGGTTAGAGTTGTTGGGGTGTACATGAGAGGGGTTAGAGCAATTGGGGAACTGCTGCTGTGGGAGGGAAAACTGAATGGTGAAAGGGTGGGGGTAGGAACTGGTGGCTGGTGTTGGGGAGTTGAGGATGCTGGGCAGTGTGGTGGTGGAGTCTAGAAGCAACAAGGCAGTATGATGGTGACTGGGTGGCAGTGTCAGTGGCCCATTGTTGGTGAAAGGTGAATGTGCAGTTGTTGGTGTGAGCAGTATTGATGGTGGTGGAAAGCTACATGACTAGGTGTGTGGGCAGGTGTGGGTGTGGAGCTATGGGAATGGGGTGTGTGAGCTTGATGCTGTGGGGAAAGGGATGGTGTGAGTGAAAGCATGGGTATTGTGTGGGGAGTGGGGCTGCATGGGCATGGAGCTTTAGGGGAGTTGTGTTGGTGAAAGGTGTTGATGGCCCAATGTGGGTGGTGATTGAGTGTGTGGTTAGTGGTGTATG